CGTCTCTTGATCAACTTAGGATAGACTGGATAGTAGTAAGGAAGGATAAACTTACTATGTCTATAGGTAAAGACATAAAACCTTACCTACTATATATATATATATATATATATATATATATATAAAGCTAACAAACATTTGGCAGCTATAATGAATATAGGTGTATTCTCAACCATCAGATTTTCATCAAGTGGTTCAAAATACATATCACTATTTGAATTTTAATTTTTTCTATAAATATTTTACCATAAAAATGTATTTATGTGTTCAAAAGTGACTTTTAATTATAAGAAGTACATGTATTTTAGGTAGGGTATTTTTGTCTTTTTAAAATCCTTCCAAAACTCAATTTAAAATTTTAAAAGATTTCTTTGACTTTTTTAAAAAGTGCATCTTAAAAGAAATTTAAAATTACAAGTATGCCCTTCTCAAAATATTCAAAGAAGCTATTATTAATGTAATTTTTATATTTATCAAGCAATTTGTTGTCAAAAATTTCAAAGCTCACCATTAATATAGTAGAATTTACTACACCAAAATATTTGACCACAAAATGCCATTATGTGTTCAAAAATGGTTATAGATTATAAATAGTTCATGCATTTTGAGAAGGCTATTTTTTTCTTTCTAAAATCTTTCCAAAACCCAATTTCAAATTTAAAAAGTTTCTTTGGCTTTTCGATTGATGAATGAATCTTTAAAATAAAATTTATGAATATGCCCTTCTCACAATTTTCAAACAAGATATTATTAATGAATTTTTTATACTGTAAGGATATTTTATTGTCAAAAATTTTGAAGTAGGAAATTATAAGTTCACCATTAGTATTAGTATGGTCTACTCTAAAGGATTCTATTATATAAAAACAACTAAAAATCATTTTCTTTGGCTCTTTTTTACATTAGAGAATTGTCTTATAAGAGAGAGAGAGAGACAGAGAGAGAGAGAGATTTGCTTTTGAAGATTTCAAACGCACCAGAGAAAGAGTAAAGATAGTTGTAGAGTAGTGCTAGAAATATAGTTATATAAGATTGAGGAAAACTTTGTAGGAAAGAAACTTTAATTAATATTAAATTTTAAGCTTTTATTTTTAAAAAATTAAACTTTTAATTTTACTGCAAAATTTTCTATAAATAGAAAGGACACAAATACCCCTAAAAAAACTAGAAACCCAAAAAAATACATACTTAAATTCTAAAAAATAGTGAAATGAAGAAAATTAAAAGCTCCTCTCTGAACTTCTCTCCCTTCCCCAAAACATCTCTCTCCCCCCCTCTCTCTCTCTTTGTGTGAGTGGCAACAGATATAAATGGAAGGTAAAAGGCCTCTCTTTGAGGAGAGTCTCTTCTAACCAATTCTAGGTGGTCCCTCTCTCTCTTATATTTTTATTTCCAAAATCTGTCGGACCTCTTATTCCCACCTTAACCTAATAGAATATCACAGGCGACCTCACTGAGGTTCCATCTGGGGGATGCCTCCCATGTCTATCTAGACTCACCTAAGTTACTGGGCTGGCACAGGGGCCGAGCCCCAAATATGAGCCGATATCAACACGATATAAAATTCAAAACATCATGTTGTGGAATCTGTCACCCTAAAATCTTATTACTTAAGCCCGTTTTATACATGCTAGTTATTCATAAGTAAATCCGTCTATACGTTTTGTCATTCATCAACAAAGAAAGCATTTCTTGGTGCCAGCCAACAATTCCTCCATTGAACTCGTGTCTCTTCACCTTTATGCCTCCACCCCCTTCATTTGAAAACTGGAGAATCCCTTTCCAGTGCCCTTTCAAGACGGAACGGAAACAAGAAAGACCTGTTTTAACCTTATTTATGAATAGACCCATTTGTGAACATCGATATGGATGGCCCAATTACTTTAGAGAAAAATACCACGGTGTTAACTCTATAGTTGAATCCTCCCCACGAGAAAATAAATTCCAACGATACCTGTTGAATAACTCAGACTTTCCTACCGTCGTCAGTTTGGAAAATCAAATCCATCTGTTGTAGTTTGAATTAAGGCCCAGTTTGAATGGACCATTATTCATGAGGGTCTTTTCTTAAATAAAATAATTATTGAATGCTTTAGAGCATTGTTTGCAAAATCACCCGATCTAACCGCTCGATTAGATCGAACCTGGTCAGTGGCCGGTTCCGGTATTGGACGGTTAGGGTAATCAACCGGTATTTTAAAAAAAAAATTCAAAAAAAATATATATAAATTCTCAAAAATAAGAAATTTGATTTGTAATGCATTTTAAAATATTCTTTACATTATGGTAAAGATTAAAAATTGTTTTGGTCATTAATACTCACTTTTATATTTTTCTATCTTTTTCAAAAAAAATAAAAATAGCCATTGAAAAATACTTAATGGGTTAAAATCTGTTTTTTTCATTAATTTTTAACTCCATTTGAATGTGTCCTGTTTTAATCGTTCTTTATATATTTTTCATATTTTAGTAGATCTTTTTTTTTTTTACTTTTTTTTTTTTTTTCTTTTTTTTTTAAAGCACTTTTTTGAGTGCCCGAGACTTGCCTAGTTAGAATGGTTGAATCGGCCGATTTACTAGTTAGACCGGTCAAACCGCTTCTTAGCTCATGTCTAGTTAATCGTTTCGATTCAATTTTGCAAACACTGCCTCGGGGGAAATGTTTGGTTCACTTTTTCCCACTTATGAATGACTCATGTTTCTCTATCCCACTTATTAAAGCAACACATCAAAGCACTCCTAGTTATAGAAATTACCCTTTTCCTTAATTCCACATACGAGTAAAGATCGGTCGGCTTGAAACGGTAGCCCAAGTCCTCAATTCAAAAGCTAACATTGAGAAATCCCCTCTATCAATGTGCTATTTGACAATGCAGGAATTGCCCTCCTTTTAAAATTTCAATAGTAGCCACAAAGCAGCAAGCTCGAAGTTGATGACGAACCTTCTAACCCCTAATATACCACTTATGAATAATCGGTCTGTCCTAATGATGCCGCAAGGTTCGTTTACCCACTCTCATTCTCTGGTTGAACTCATGTGGAGTGCAATATGAATCACAAACAAAAAAGCAGTCACATGTCAAAACAATCCAATCTTCCAAACAATGATCAGTGACCTCTATGCGACTTCGTGGCAAATTTTTCTGATTGAAAAATGCCCCTAAAATCCAGTACTTGAAAGGCAGCCAAGTGCATTGTAGCAGTTACGTATAAAGCATTTCAGTGCACATCTCAATTAGCAAACAGAAAATCCATCAGATTCTACACTTAGTTCATGGCTTCATGGAAAGTTTTGGCAGGTCGTCTCCAAATAGTTGGGAACGGCTCTTGATGATGATGATATTTGTTCATGGCTACAATGTAAAACATCAAATGATTAACATGCAAATAAAACATGCCATGCCAATGCCAAATAGTTGGAAAAAGGCTCTTCATGATGACACTTGTTCATGACTACAAAATAAAACCTCAAATGATTAACATGCCAATGCCAATGCCAATGCAAACACCGCAAATTCTTGCCATATTCCCAAAATAGAATTTCCTCTTAGGTATATTCTTCTGACAGGGAAGGAAATTACAAAAAAGAAAAAGAAAAGAAAAAGAAATATGGAAACAACTTTCCAATCTGCTATCATATATTCATCAAGTAGACAAATTCTACTAGAACATGAACCAAAACAAGAAATTCTCACTCCAATTACACAAGTTCAACGGAATCGGGTGTGCATTTGTTTCTTTAGGCGGATCCCTGTTCAGCAGCAGCTGCCCTCTTCTTGGCAAAGTACTCGTCTGCTCGAGTCATATTCTTTGCTACTGATGGCTTCACCCACTTTTTCCTGCCAGGCAATACTGTTAGGGTGCACCCGGCAGACTCAAGCTTCTCTTTAGCAGATGCAGAGAAAGCGCGTGCCTTTATGGAGAGTTTGGCGCTCAGTTCTCCTTCTCCCAATATCTACATGGCCAAAATAGAACAATTGACAAGCAATTATAGAACAGATGATCACACAGACACACACACACACACAGACGCAGAGACACACATCCACACCCCTCACACACAATCACATTCCGATCTCAGGTGAGAAAGGTTCCAGTTGTTCTTACAATATCTGCATGGGCAAAATGGAAAAATTGGCATGACCCACAATGATAGAACACACGAACACACACACACACAAACCTCTCTCCCCCCAAAAAAAAAGAAACTCAGTCTCTCTCTCTCTCTCT